GCCAAATCTTGTCAAGTTCCTCCTGGCTTAAGTCTCTATGGGGCTCACCTGCAAGGTCCTTCTTGACAAGGTTCTCCACTCACACCTTCCCCACCTCACCTCCCATGCTCGCCCTCTGGCTCACATCCATCCAGCCATGCAGGTGTTCTAGCTGTTCCTCCAATGCACCGGCCCCATCCAGACTCAGGGCCTTTGCATTGGTTCACCACATCATTCAGATTCGCATCCTCATCGTTCATATTACCTTTGAATGTCACCTGCTTCCAAGGGCCTTCCCTGAACATTCTGATGAAATGCTCACCCATCCTCTCTGCACATACTCTATCCTCTCACCCTGCGTTACATCGTCTTCAAGGCACTTAACACCAATGAGATTATCTTGTTTTATTTATTTTGTGTTCACTGTTGGGTCCCTCCTCTCTTGCAGCATGAGGTAAGCAACCCTCCAAAAGAGTCCTTTGTACCCAAATATTCACCTCAGGGCCTTAAAAAGTGCCTGGTCCCTAGTCAGTGATCAGAAAGTATGTGTATGATATATTCAAGGTTAGAGGGGACCAAGCAGAGCTGGAGGGAAGTTGGTTTTGTGGGTGAGATGTCAGTCCATGAACGGGGAGACCTGTTCAAGGGCCTGACAGGATAGGGCATGTTGGCTACCTCCTACCATTCCCTTCAGGGCTGTGGTTTGCAGGACAGTCATACCTTTTGTGTCTGTGTACCCCCATCTCTCTCCTTACCCCTTTGTACCCCTTGTCTCTTTGCCCTATGCTTAGGGCAAATGTTTAGGGCCCCTTTACACTCTCGAAGCTCCCTGAGTCCCTCCCCACCTTCTTATACTTCTCCTTATGCCTCTTCATAATTTCCTCATTGCCTCACACCCCTCTGTACTCCCAACCATGCTACTGCCTTTTGCCCTTGCCACTGGATACCCAGGCTGCAAAGCCACTAAGCCCGGAAGCTGGTTCTAGAGGTAGCAGCTCCTAGAACGCGACAGGTTTGCTCCCAAGTACGTGCACAGCCAGATCTCATGCCACAGTAGTCAGGTAGAGGACCTTTCGCAGCCTCGCAAGGGCCAGGCTACTTTGCAAAGCACAGCTGAGCCAGACTGGGTGGGAACACCTGCCTGAAGGCATTTTGGTGTCCGGGATGGGCTGGCAGTGGAGAAGATAAATGACCTTGGAGCCACACTGGCTTAACTCCATCCACATCTGGTTTCTGCTGCTTAGATAGAAATGTCACCTTTTTGAGTCTTAGCTTCCTCATCTATAAAATGGGAATGATAATGTTTTCCTCCCAGGGTTACTGTGATGATGAAGTGAGATAATATGTGGTTCCAGGGGGCCTGACATTAACCAGATGAACTAAAGATGGAGAAAACAGCTTAACGCAGTCCTGTTGCTCTCACATATATTGATGGAATAAAACAAAATTAAGAAAAGAGGCTATGTGTGTGGCTGTACAAATAGAAAAGCAGTGAAATCTGCTGCTTACCTGTGCCTCCTGATCTCCTGTCACGGGTGCTGAGGCAGAACTCATTGTCCGTTATGTGCTCCCCCTATGGTGCAGGTGAGCATTATGGGGACTCCCACGGTACCTAGATGCACTGGGAGGCACCTTCCCACGTGCCCATTCTCCCCTCACCACCACCTCCCCCAGCTGTCTCTCTTTTGTACATCAATGTCATGGAGAGCCTTGCTTCTCAAAGTGTGGCCAAGTACCAGCAATATCAGCATCCCCTAGGAGCTTGTTAGAAATGCAGAATCGATGCCCCAGACCTACGAAATCAGAACCTGCATTTTAAGAAGGTCCCCAAAGGACTTATCCCCAGGAGAGTCATGTGCATGTTAAAGGTTGAGAAGCACTGGATGGAAGTTTGCAACACCTGCACTTAAAATGCATAAGATTCACAACTTCTGAGTTTGGTGTTGTTTGACATTGTCCCTGGAAATATTATCACGAGCCACCAGAGTACATCCACACAACATTAGGAAACTCGTATTTCATTCATCTTGGGAGGGTCTGTTCCCAATCTCCCTTATATGACCCTATATTGATTTGCCTTTTTTAAACCTAAATTATTTTTATCAAAATACTACAGAATATAGTTTTAGAGGTAACTCACATCAAGGCTTGTAATAGGAGATTTTTCTATGCTTCTGCATTCTCAAGTCACCTACTTTAAATTGTTATTTTTCCTTGTATTTACTTCTATGTTTCTATTGTTCTTTCTTGATTTTTCTCTGTTGAGATGTTACCTGCCATGAAATGAAGAATTTAGCTTTCTTACCACCCTCCCACCCACACACACCCAGAGACACAAACACACACTTGCCCTCCCACTGTCCCAAAAGAGCCAAATCACTGGAGTCAACATGCAGAGCTTAGACTAGGACCATGTAAACATTACTGTTCAACTTTTTGTGTTCCCTGGAGTTAGTAATTGCTTTATTGTATCATTTGCTTGGTTTTCTAGGTGCCAATTGTTAATTGAATCCCAAAGTTTCCGACAGAATTCGACACTTATTTTGAATATGTCTAAAAACAGAGAACTAATTTCATTTTCTTCTGGAGACATCCACTGTGGACCATCTGCCTTTTGATTCCAGGCTGAGTTGCTTCCTTTTTCACCTGAGAGCACAGCTGACCTACCGTGCTTTTCTCTTCATTTCTCTCCTGCATTTAGCCTCATTTCTTAAGTCCCATATTATCTTCTTTCTTAGTTTAATTCCTTGTTTTTCTGACGCACATCCTCCAGTAACTTTCTAAGAAAAGGCATATGCAAAATCAAATATTTGAGACTTTGTATGGTTTAAAAGTGTCTTTATTTTGCTCTCGCCCTTGTCATTTGAACAGCTAACGTGTTTCTAGGTTGAAAATCATTTTCCCTCGAAATTTTCTGGGCATTGCTTTGTTGCTCCAGGAAGAGCTAGAGCAAGAGCAGTCAATAAATTGTCCCAAGAGCTGGTGACATTGGCTCCATGGACCATTGAGCTCATAGCCACCAAAGATGTCAAGGCCACCAAGCTGGAGTGATTGGACAGAGCCCATTGGAGGCAGATATGCAGCCTGACTCCCTACCTGTCTCCTCCTTTCCTAGGGGCTGTATGGCCATGTCCCTCTCACCCCAGCCCATCAGTTTTCCTTCAAAGTATGACATATGGACACGGATTAAGTTCTCTCAATTATGACCCATTTCCATTCTTACCTCTCAAGTCACTGAATCAGGATATGTTGGAACCATCACCCAATTTCAGATTACCAGTGGGGATAGGTTTCTTTCCTAGGTGACCGATCATATTCATTCTCCTTCATTTCATTCTCAGAGAGTAACTCTAGCCTCCAGTTTGGGGGTTACTATGCTGTAGCCCTCTATGCCATTTCCGGAATCTCAGTATCTGAAACACATCCTACAAACCACAATACTCAGAATGCTTCAACAGCTGCCTCTTGCCTGTTTCCATTGAGCAGGTCACGTGGGAGTCCAGCCCCAGAAAGCCTCAGGTTGTTTTGTGGTGAAGTCTCTCTCTACATTCCAGGGCTGCAGTCCTTAAAAATCCCTTCAAGGGCCCACAGGTGTCACCCTACTCTCAGGGAGAGAGCACTGGGCAGGCCAATTGGAGGACTCATCCCTGGGTGAGCACCTGCAGGAAAGGGGAGGCAGCCTCTCCTTCCTCGGTCAGCCACCCAAGTGGTGATGGGGTTAGAATGCCTCCTTGGCAACTCGTCCCCATGGGAGGGCCCAAGGGCAGAGAACCAGCAGAGGCAAAGGGGTGAGTCTTAGTTGTCAGAAATAGCTGACCTCTGGCTAAGCCCCACCTGAGCCACCAGTTGCTTATGAGGCCAGAACCAGCAGCAGCCCCTCCCTACCTTAGAGCCCCACCTGGCAAGAGGTCACAATGCCCTGCCACCCAGTCCAGAATGGCTGACCGCAGTGGGAGGAGGTGAGGTGGGTTTGGTGGGTGGGTGAGAGGGGAGGGGGAGATCCCCAAGGAACTCAGTTCCCCACTCCCTGAGCTCATCCTTGAGTGTCTGCCATCCTCTCCCACACTCCCACCCCCCATATTTCCTCCCAGCACAGCCCCTACCTGTAACCTCCACCTCCCTCCATGACCCAGCTATGTTTACCTAGGCCTGAAGCCCCTGCTTATCCTATCCCTGTCCCTCCCAGGGGCCTGGGTGCCAGGGAGGGGTTGGGTAGTTCAGCAGGTCCATGTGTGTCCTTCTGGGGCCCTAGTCCGGCCCAGCTCCTGGACAGTGTCCTAGGGCTGGGGGCACTAGTGCTGACGATTCGGGCAGTCTTTTCCATGGCTGGCCTAGCCTTGCTGCTACTGCTGCTACTGGTCAGCTTCCTGGCCTTCGACCTGCTCCACAGGTAAATGGGCAGCAGCCTGGCAGGTGGGCAGGTTCAGGCAAGCAAGCAAGTGGTCAACCTCCCGAAGCCCAGCTGCTATACTCTCTCTCCGCAGGCCTGCAGGTCCCATGCGACCACAGCACACACTTCTCCCAGGGGGCCAAAGTCAGGGGGCCGGAGAGGGTCCAAGACAGCAGGAGACTCTACTCCTGCAGACAGCGGCAGTCACAGGACGACTCAGCCTCCAGGAGGCTCTGCTGCTGCTGCTCCTGGGCCTGCAGCTGCTCCTGGGAGCCCGAGGCGTGCCTTTGACACTGCTTGGCCTGGCTCTCTGTCTCCATCCTTGGGCCTGATTGCCCTCCACAAATACACTGATCATGGTGCGTCTTCAGGCCTCCTTTCCTCCCTCCTGGGCTGGGCAGGTGGGAGGGTACACCTCTGTCCCCAGCCTAAACCTCACTGGACCTCTGGCCCCACAATATGGGCAGTGGATACTTGGGTCTGATTCTAGACAATGTTAGAAGGTCAGATAAAGAACAAGGAGCCCAGAGCAGGATGCGATAGCCATTTCAGAACATGCAGGTTGAGGCTGGCCATTCTGGCCTCCTCTGTGGTTCTAAAGAATGAAGGCCCAGAGAGAAAGATCAGCGGAATGGGACTCATCAGTAGGGAAAGGACAGGGATCCAAGAGGGCTTCCCACAAGAGAGCATGAGAAACTACACGTACAGGCTCCCCTGCCAGACTGAAGGGTCCGTGGAGAGAGGCTCAGCTGAGGCTCCCACCCTGCAGTGGCTCCTTTCTTAACTGGACCCCACCCCAGTCCGGGTCACAATGGGACTCCTCTGGGGAGGGCAGGGGAGAGTGAAAGAGGGGCTCGACTCTGGCTGCCAGGCCCCCTGGGTGCTGTTGGAAGCAACATGACTTAGGGACGTTTGCCCAGAGGTAAGATCCGGACCCCAGCTCAAAGCCCGACCCCACCCACACTGGTGCCCTCCTGACCCCTGCACCCCCACCTGCCCTGAGGTCCCAGGCACCTCCAGGGCTGCTCCTGCAGCTGGACTAGCCCTCTCCCCAGGTGCACCATCTGTGATGCAGCAGCCTCGAGTGGAGACAGATGCCATCGGGGCCGGTGAGGGGCCGCAGCCGGCAATGCCCTGGTCAGCCTGGGTCACGCGGCAGGGCTGGGTGCGCTGGTCCATGTACCATGTGCCCCAGAGCTGGATCCAGTGGTGGACCACATCCAGCTGGCGGCAGCCGCTTCGGCGTGTGCTCTGGGGTCTGGAGGGGATCCTCTACCTGCTGCTGGCACTGACGCTGTGCCACGCACTCTTCACTACCGGCTCCCACCTGCTGAGCTCCCTGTGGTCCGTGGTGGCCGCAGCATGGCGCCATCTGCTGCCCGCCATCCTGCTGCTGGTGCTCAGTGCCCTCCCAGCCCTGCTCTTCACCATCTCCTTCCTGCTGCTGTTCTCTACGCTGTTGAGCCTCGTGGGCCTCCTCGTCTCCATGTCTCACCCAGGCCACGCTCAGGACTTGGACTAATAGAAGGGCAACCCCATCTCGCTGCCTGTGTCTGTTGAGCCCTGGCCTAGGGCCTCAGGCCCCGGGGGAGAGGGAGGGCAGTGAGTCCAGAGCCTTCCTGCCTCAGCAGACCCAGACCTCCAGTCCCCAGCACTGGTTGTGTCATGAGTGATGTTGCTGGAACTGGCAGGGTAGGTTGGCCTGACCCCTGGGCACCTCCTTCAAGTTGCTGCTGCAGGTACTTGGTATGGGGGGGGGGGTGGTCAGGGGCTTTGAGGAGAGGGGACAGGGCAGAAGGCTTAGATAAGAGCAGAACTGGGCCAGACAACCTAGAGCTCCTATGGGGGTGTGGTGGCACCACTAGAGCCCCCTTAGCAACCTGTAGCATCTTGCAGCTCTCTCAGCTTCAGACTCATTGAGAACTCCTGCCTGGGTACCCCTGGACTTGCCATTCCTCCCACCAACCTCCCTCCTGCCCGTGCTCTAGAAAGGGTCCATCGACGGAAATCTAGCTGGAAGAGGGCTGGCCACAAGTCCCATGTGGCTTCACTTCCCAGACCTTTCCACCTAGGCATTCCCCCACTCCCTCCACACCCTAGTTCCTGCCTCAGTCCACACCCCCAAGTCTGGGAAATGGGCTGAATAGGGCAGTGAGGTTCCCAGAGAGTACCCACTCTAAATCTCCTGAGGTCTGTTTTAGAAAAACAATCAGGTCCCATTTAACCCACCTATACATTGTGTGGCCTTGGCCAATTCATTCTTTTGAGCCTGTGCTAAGTGGTCCCAACCCTGTCATGGAGTTGAGTCAAAGGCATTACTAAGGTGTGAAGTACTTTGTAAAGTCCAGGAAACAATAAGGTATTATATTGAACTCTTAGGCTCAACAGGTCTTTTGAGACCAAAGGCCACAGAAAGAGCAGGAAAGTTCCCTAGGCCTTCAGAGAAATGCTCTGTAATGGATTAAAACTACAGTGGTAAACAGGATGGATGGGTGTGGACAAGATGTAAAAATGTTTATGTGTCATGCAATCTCAAAATATGCAGATGTCAAACTCTTCTGATTGTGAAATGCTTGGGACTGAGGCTTAGTGCCCGGTGATGCTTGCACAGCTATGTGAGTGGGGAAAGCATGGCCCACGGTTTCCAAAATGCGCACAGCAACTACTCACAGCACCAGGAAGACCTTCAAAGGTGGCGTTCCTGATGCCTAGGGTGCTGGCTGTTTGCATATCTGCTGACCCTCCAAACAACACAGTGAGTGATCAGCTATTACCAAGTAAGGCACATGATTGACAGCTTCACCTATAGCTAAGACCCAACCACCTGACCCCTACCCCACTCCTAACCCTCACCCAATTCCTGACCCTCCCCAACTCTTTTCCAACCTTGACCCTCCTGTACATCTAACCCTGAATGCCCTGCTCCTGAGCCCTAGACCCAAAGTCCCCCTCTCCTGCCGAAATACTCAAGCCTTGAGGACCAGCCCCTAGAACCTGGGTTCATTTTTGCCAAAACTCATTTGCTGTGGAGTTTCATAACCCTGCGTGCCACTGGTTAGACGCCTTCAGCATCCATGCCTAAAACCCCAGGCACAGTCCTTCCTTCCCATTTCTTTGTGATTCTCCCTGAAATACAGCCTGGTAGCAATGGCAAGGCAGGACCTGGAGGCAGTATAGCCTGTGGTTAGCGAGGGCTCTGGTGTATTTACTGAGACTGGGTTTCAGTCCCGACATTGTCACTTCCTATCTCTGTGGCCTTGATGGAAATTGCTAAGCCTTCCTGAACTTCATTTTCCTTGTCGGTAAAACAAAGGTAAGGACACCTGTGTCAGGGTGCCTGTGGGGCTCCTGGCACATGTGGGAGAAGTTCCCAGACTGACTCCTCACTCCGCACACTGTAGCTATTCTGTTACTATCCTATTTCAGAGACGAGAAGTCAGGTTCAGGATGGCTACTGGCAGTGGTGAGGCCAGATTGTCTGAGTTCTAGTCTACCTAACAGGCTACTAAAGGGAAAGCTACGGAGCAAACACTACCTACCTGCAGACTCCATGGCTGTTCTTAAAACTCCTGTCAGAGCTGAAGTCTGGATGCCGGCCTGGGTCCACCATAGATTTAGCTCTCTATTGCTGGTCAGTGATACTACTTTGGAGCCTTCGGCCATTCCAGTTAAGGGAGAGTGGAGGTTTTGGCCCTAAGGCACAGGTGGCAAACACAAGGCCCTTGGGCCGAATCTGGCCCTCCACCTTGTTTTATCCAGCCCTGCACTTTGCTTCTACCCAGCAGCAGCACCGAGCTCTTGCTTAACTGTTAAGGAGTAGTTACATTTACACAGTCCTAAAATTACATTCCGAGCTTTGAAGGCAACCGCGAGGCTGATGTGGCCCCTGGTGACAATGAGTCTGACACCCCTGCCCTAAGGGGACAAGATGTGGGTGGGAACTAGCAGAAGGCCTTCTTCCCTTCCCCATATAATTACAGGGTAGGACAAAAGTAGATTTGTTCATAAGGCAAATAATACAATAATAAATACTACAAGAATAAACTCTGTGTCTCAAGTACTCACAACTGTAAACCTACTTTTGCCCCACCCTGTATATTCCTTCCACTCTCCTGCTCTGCTGGTTCAGGGTAAGGTGCTGCAGATGTACAGTACCTACCGAATTAGATCGACATATACCCGGTAACCTGGTAATCCAGCAACCCAAAGTGAATTCTCACAGAAGCCCCTAAGGACCTGGTTCCAGGACCAGCAGTACAGGCCTCACCTTGCAGCTGGTTAGAAGTGCAGAGTCTCAGGACCCACTCCAGGTCTTCAGCATCAGAGCCTGCCTTTTAACAAGGTTCCCAGGTGATACACATGCACACTGAGAAGCACTGCAGAGAGTCATTAGTTTGACACCAGTGATCACACTGCTATTGGTGGTGGCAGGAAATGAGCACCGTAGACAAGAGGCAGCAGTTAGAAGGGGCTGGAGCTCTGCAGATTGATCTTGAATTCCTAGCTCTGAGTGAAACACTAAATGAGAAACAATGCAATTCTTTTAATGCAAATTTAAAATGCATGGCAGCAAAACAAACTTGGAAGGGGTGGCAAGAACACATAAAAACAAAGGAAATAATTGAATGGCTAGCTCTAGGGTACAGGCAAAGGGGAATGGAATATTCAGGAAAAAGAGATTAAAGTGAGGGACCTTGCAGAGACTAAAGAAAAATGGTATTATGAACATAATTCCTGAAATTCCTTAAACGTAGACCAAGTCATCCCTTTACAGTTAAAAGTTAAAAGTCTTTTAAAAATGCAAGCCCAGGGAAAAAGAACACGCTGGAATGAAGGCCTTCCTAAGCCTTTCCGGTTTGGTCCAAGAAGGGAGAGCTGTTCCATTGGCCTCGGTGACTGAGTTGTTACCTTTGCCTGTCCTCCCCCACCCCACCACAGCCTGCTCTGCCCGGGATTGGGGTGGCTGTGGGGATACTCATGTGACCTGGCCAGAAAAATAATCAGATCAGGTGAGGAATTAAAAAAGAAGCTGAGGAGGTGTCAGCAACCAAGGGCCTTGCGTCTTTGAAAACAGAAACCCTGACGGGTTGGATTCACAGTCAGGGAACATGTCTGGGTTGTGGCCCAGGTACCCAGAGGGGGCGCTGAAGAGACAACCATAAGTTGATGTTTCCCTCCCTCCCTCCCTCCCTCCCTCCCTCCCTCCCTCCCTCCCTTCTTCTCATATAAAAGCTTAAAAAAAAAAAAAACAAAGGGGGGGGGTCACTGCTGCAAACACACATATATAGCAAGGAATGGCCAAGCCTTCCAGTGTCAAGGGCTCTTATGAGGCTGGGGCACCACCTAAGAGTTGTCAGTGGCCTTCCTAAGAGAAGGAGAGGGGTCCCTGGAAGGAGGCTCTCTCTGCCCTGGCTGGAGGGTTAGGGGAGCCGCCGTCCTCACCCAGCGGTTCACCCAGCAGTTCATCCAGAAGTTCACCCAGGAGTCCGTGGCCTCAGAGGAGATGGAGGACCGGGTAATGGCAGGAGCGGGAGGCGGGCTGTGATGCACCGGAGGTTGCTCCAGGAGCAGTTGCGAGGTACGGGGGCACAACAGGTCAACCCCCCAGGTTCAAATGCGCGGGTCTTGGGCACGGGAGACGGGCCAGGGCGACAACTGGAGGCTCTCGAGGAAGGCGCATTGACCGTGGGGGCAGAGCGGGGCGGACAAGGACCTAGTCGGCGATTGGCGGACTGTGGGAGCCCACACAGGGAAGGTACTAGCCATCCGAGAAAATAGCCCCGGAATCGCGACTTGTGGACCCCGCGATCGAAGGTGCAAGGTGCGCCCTCTGCCGGAGATCTGCTCTGGCAGCAAAGAAATGGGTTTGGCAGAGTTGTGGGAAAGGAGCGAAGGAAGATTTACCGTTTTCTCACAACACAGGCAAGCGTAGATTTCCGGGTCAGGAAGGGTCATCTTCTGCCCACTGTCATCACAGTGGCAGCTTCGTTGACTCCTCCACCCCAAATCTTCAGTCCGGGACCCCCACCCACAGGCCTAGAGGGCTGAGTTCCTCAGGCTTCACTGTATCTCAAACTCCTGGCGCAGCCCCCTTCTATCTTCCTGTTCCTCCTGGACTAGAGCCTCTTCTGTGAGGTTCTGTTGGGGTCTGGAAGCCCAACTTTGGATGAGTTTTCGTTTTTTCCTGCTGAGCAAACATTTCCATCTATGTTTTGGATATTTTGTCCTTTATACTGCCTTCTTACATTTCAAATATTTTCCATTTGAAAAATAAAAGAACTTGATTTACGATCTGTTGCTTTGACCATATTTCCTGGACGGTGTCTTTAAATGTCTTACCAAACTACAATTTTTGAAACAGATATGTGTGCTGCATACTTGCAAAAGTATTTGTAATATGAATGAAAGTTGTGAAGTGCCCTAAACTGAAGGATACCACATGGATCTAAAAGCCAGAAGTCTTGCCCTGGCTGGTGTGGTTCAGTGGACTAAACGCTGCAAACCACAGGGTCATTGGTTCTA